TTTTTGTTGCCACAAATAGGTATTTAATTTATTTTTATTTTTTTCTATTTTTTTCATTTTTAAATTTTTTTTTTTTTTTTTTTTTTTTTTTTTTTAAAAAAAAAAAAAAAAAATCATTTTTATTTTTTTCTTTTTTAGTGAGTTGTTTTCTTATCGTTGTGCCGGTTATTCGCCTATTCAAATTATAGGATCAGATTATAATCGTTTAAAAGATGATGACGAGTTGAACGACAACCTTATCGTCTTTTATATGAGGTAACACTGACAAAGTGAAATATGTTTATGATGAATTTTCTTTAAATTTGCTTTATTGTAACTGTGCATAATAGGTATTGTCTGGAAAAACTTCGTAAAAATGACGAAAATGAAGCAAAAAGATATTATCTTTTCGATTCATTCTTTTATCAGAAATTATCTGATATGAACACTAATTTCAGCAGGTATTCGTACCATCTTTGCTACTAGAATTTTTTTTTTTTTAGAATTACTTAAATGAATACATAATAAATTCTTTATTAGGAACAAAAGCAAAGTTTATGAAACAATGTCAAGGTGGATCAAAGTTGATCTTCTTGAATTTCAATATATATTTCTTCCAATTTGCGAAGAGTAAGGATTTTTATATTGGTTTATTTATTTATTTTTTTGTTAATTATAACTTATATATTTTCTTAATAAAGTCAGCATTGGTATCTAGTACAAATTATCAACCCAGCTGCGATTATTAGTAATCCAATTGATTGTCATATAGCGATTTATGACTCTATCGCACCAAAATTTAAACATAGACGTGCTGTGACCATACTTAAAAGTCTGTTAATTGATTACGTTCAAGATGTTAGAGGTGAAACAATTAATCCAAGAGTAAGAATTTCCTACTCAATCGTGAATACACCAAAACAGTTAAACACAGTCGATTGTGGAGTTTATATTCTACACTTTATAGAAACATTCATGGAGAATTCTAGTGAACTTGAACAAAAAATTATTGACAAAGAAACTGATGAGGATCAATGGAATCCTACCGCTTTACCTACAAAGCGTCAAACAATTCTAGAAATAATAGAAAATATAGAAGTTGAATATAAAAGTTGAATATAAAACGTAAGTTAATTTTATTACTTCGTGTGTCAATCAATTTTCAATGATGTTAACTTTATTGCTTTACTATTGTTGACATAGTTGATTTTTACACAATTAATGTGACTAGTAGTCATAAAACGAAAACCAGAATCATTAAAGACATGGTTACAAAATGTATTAACACACATTATGGGCTATGTTGCAACCGATTGTATCTTACAGCCGATTATATAATGAAAAATTTTGGCCAAACAATTTTATAACTTGGATAATTTTTTGGTTTCTTGAAATAGTAAGTAATAATACTGATATTTAATTATATCATTCATCATATTTTCAAAATAAATTAATATTGAGACTTTTATAAGATTATGTTTTATTGTAATACCAATTTATTAATAGAATACATTCTTTCTCCTACAATAAAATCAATGGAGGAAGCAGAGTAGGAAAGAAAATATGAGAGGTAAATAACAAGTGATAGTAATCCTTCATATTTTTTTAAATATTGTGTGGTGATTAATTATGGTAGTTTTTGGATGGTTTAGCCTGCCGAAAACAGTGAAATCAGGAATATTGTCCAGAACAAAATTAATGAAAAAACAATGTACACTTTAATATTTAACCTGTTTTTAGTATAGAATTTAAAATAAGACTAATTAGATTAAAATAAATTGGTATTATACGATTTATGATTAATTTTAGAATGTTGTTGAGAAAAGGAATGTGTCAATATGTACAATACATCTAGTTCATTATAATTTTAATTGATTGTTAATTCGAATTCATGGAAATCAACTTGTAGGATATGTATCGTGTCACAACGGTGTTAAAGTCATGAAACCATGCAGTTATTGTTACGCATGGCGCACTAATATAAAATTTATTAGAAAATATATAAACAAACCTAAACATAAGAAAAAAAAACTGAATTTAACTTTGTCCTAAAAGATTTTTGCTTGACTAGAATTCGATAATTTATCTACTAAAAATTGAAAATAAAATAAATACAAACTAATTAGATTAACCTCTTTTATATAAACTTTATCATCCAAATATTTAATCATTTCTCATTTAATAAACGTAATAAATATGATGAATTTAAGGTTATGTTTAACACAAGGTGAAAGGTGACAACGGTACTACAACTTTTGAATAAGTTTATTTATTATAGACTATTTCTTACCCTAATACGAAAAAAAAATATTTAAGATGTATAAGTCAAAAATGTAGATTTTATTATATCCGGACGTCATTATATTTAGAACACTCGTTCAAACTATAATCCTTTAAGAAAAAAAGAAATTCACATTTTTCACATCAATGTATATTTTATTTCGTGTTAAATTACATTCATGTAATCAGTTTTTTGATGTTTTACAAAATCATCGGGTAGAACGTGCCGAACGTGCAAAGAAAATATATATATTTATTATTTTTATTTTTAATTGACAAGCAAAGATATAATCCAGGATATAATCCAAGATATAAGATATTATCTATTCCCAAGGTAATTTATAATCATGATATTTTGTTAAAGGGTTTTCAAAAGGTAAAAAATTGTTCCCTTCTAATAACCTTAATAAATTTTCCAGCCTTTTCCATCTTTTCATCCGATAACTCTGAAAATTTTAAACCATTATTACAAGTAAACATCATCCTTCTATCAAACCTATCAAACCTATTCATATGTTGAACCACCCATCTATCATAAGTGACTTCTTCAAGACTTTTGTAAAATTCTGAATATTTCATTAAAATATGTAAATGTTCATCGGTAATTCCTTTAGTAGAATTTAAACCAATTTTTTTAAAATTAACATGCGTAGTAGATCTTAATAAAGCTTCTAATTCTTTTGGGGTAATATAAGAATCTAAATCCAAATAAGTTAAAGATTCAGGAAAAAATTCACTTAATTCTTGAATATAAGTACCAAAATTTTTATTGTTAAATTTTGATTTTAAAATTAATGATTCCAATTTTGAAAATTGTAACCATTTATTAAATTCATCGGTAGTATCTATTTGTTTGATATGAAGAGCCAGATATTTGATATTTGAGCAAGTTTCCATCATGGCACTAATTATGTCTCTTGATTGATGCGGATATAAAATGTCTATTGTAAGTTCTTGCAAACATTCTTTAACAATACGAAAAATTTCAATGAAACTTGGACGAATGTTTGTTGCATATCTCCCATCATCGAAAATAAAGAGTTTTTTAACGGAAAGAGGACGTACTAGATCCCAAGGAATATTAATTTCAGGTTCAGCGTGAAGTTCCATGACGTTGTACAAAACCAAAGAAAGTAAATTTTTGCAAGCAGATAATAATTGAAAAGTTTTTAATCTTGCGTGCACCATATCAAATCCAAGCCAAGATAAGGTGGTAAAGGTACTTGAAGATAAAATTTTAAGAATAGGATTAATGACTCTAGCCCAACGAATTACGAGAGAACGAAGATGTCTTTGATTTTTGATTAAGGAAATAATTAAGGGATTCAGAACATCATGACCGGTTATATCAATATATTGAAGATTATGAAAAGAAGAGTTCATTGAAGATAAAAGAACATTTGTACTTTCACGAAGGTTTTCGGGAAAGTTAATATTTGAATCACTATTACAAATTTTCAAAAAAGTAATATCTTCCGAGAAATGGAAAAATCTATTAAAAGCATCCAAAGGAGGAACAAAGATACTGTTAAATTGAATAGTGAAATCAGTTCTTTTAATATAAGCGGAATTGAATAAAAGTTTTGAAATTTCAGTCATTAAAAGCATAATTCTTCGTTTAATAACTTTTGTTCTTTGATCAGTTGGTTCTCTCCAATGCCAACATAAATATTTCAAATCTTGATCAATATTTTGACTATTACTATACCAATTGATAACGACTTTTTCAAGTTGAGGTAAGTGAAATTCGTAAAGAAAGTTTTGATATTGAAATAAAGGTTTTTTAGAATGAGGAATTTTAATACCATGTTGCCTTAAAAAGAATTTGCTTTGAGGGTCGAGACAAGCGATATAAGTAGCAATTATATCGGATAACCAAAATTTTCCACCAGTCCAAGGATATTTTATATATTTAGTAGCAAAAGGAGTTCTCCAAATTATAGGAACCATGAGCCTACACCATTTTCTGCTGACTAATAAACAAGCGAATCTACATTGAAAAGCCACCAATTCAAAAATATTATGAATAATATCGTCAGGAAGTTGAGGGATTCTTTCTTTTTCAATAAGTTTATGTTTATCTCGAAGTCTATCAGATCGACGAACATCTTGGGAATTAGAAGTAACTTTTTGTCGCCTAGCATTTGGGGAAGATACGTTAAAATCAACAGGACTTTTTCCTTGTATCCTCAATGACATACGCATTATGACATATATATATATGTATGTACAGTAATGTAAGTAGTATATATGTAATAATTCAAGAGTAAATATTATAAAAGGAAAATAAAATGATGAAAAGAATTGTTTTTGTTTAAATTAACCGGAAGAATTGAGATGTAAACAAATAACAATATCATACGTTTGTAGATCAAAAGAAGAAAAAAAATTTTCCGAAAAAATTTTAATATGGTAAAACGCCTAAGATGAATTATAATATCAACTCATTTTGTGTAAATAAAGTTTTTCATTATATATATTATACATGAGATATTTACATACCTTAGATCACCGAAAAAGGCATCGACAATCTTGGCGGCGTTCTTAATGAACTATTTATGAATGTTTGATATTCGTTGTCAAATATTTATGATTACATTCGATCCAAAAAAATCAAAACTTACATTAAAGTTTGAGAAATATAATGAGTTTCGACTCTAAATAAGTCAAGACATTAAAAAAAAAAAAAAAACATTAATTTAAAAACCTTAATCAAATTATTATAACCAAAAACGAATTATAAAGGGTGTGGAGAAAAAGATTCGCAAATTCAAATTTAAAAAAGCAAAGCCTCATTTCTTATTTAAATAGCGATCTTAACGTCAATCGTCGGTCACACTATCATCATAAACTTATATATATGTGCGTGAGTTTATACAATCATTGTACGTATGTACACATGTACATAAAGCTCAAACAATGGGCGCAGGAGTTCTATGAAAAAGAATGTAGTACATACCGGTACGTACTTACGTAGCAGAGATTTGTTTTTCTTTTTGACACAATCGTTTAATGTGAAATATGAATCTAAATTTCGGCCAATAAATTTTAAATCTTTCCTTTGTTTCCGTATCATGAATTACGAGCATTAAAAAAAATCACGTGATGGAAGTTAATTAAGCCGCGGCCGTAGCAATTGTTACCGTTAAACAGAAAATTTTCCATATTTGAGACTATTCATTAACGTTAACGATAGTTGAACAAGAAATTATATAAGTTATCAAGATTTTAAAGATAACAAAACAATCGCAGATTGAGCCGATTTCAAATGATGTCGAGAAAGTATTAACTCATTCGGTTAGAGGTAGAGAAGTTGTATAACATGCCAAAGTCTTATGATCAATTACGTACCTTACCTTTATGACACTGTCTCAATAATGTCAAAATTCCAAATATATTAAACCAATGTTGTACGTACATTTTTAGTGTTCTGTCCAATGTCTCCAAAGTCTGTACGTACGTACGTATGTCCAAGGCATGTCAAACTTCAATAATTAATAAATTTATATAAGAAATACATGTTTAAATGGTGCGAACCATCTGGACAATCAAAAAAACGCCACTAATAATATGATGTTATAGTACCACAGAATCAATCACGAATAAAATTTTTTCAAAGGCATAAATTACAAGCATCATTGCCTATGGCCACACTACGCCATACTAAAATTTGATAGGTTGTTTTTTTTAAAAAAAAATCGCTACTACATACTACTCGACAAATATTTGAAATTTCGTGGAAACAATACTTAGCCTGGTAGATATCATACAGAACTATAGAGTTTTTGCGAAGTTCGGAATTTTCGTTCATTGAAGAGTAACAATTTTGGATGACTTTAGGTGGTTCGCACCATATAAATTTTTAATGCTGAACATTTTTTATTTAGAAGTTAAAATAGGTTATTTTAATAAAATCTTGAGTAATTTTGAGTAATTTCAATTTGATAACATTGTATTAATTAAAAACACATTTACCAGTTTATACGGCACTTGAACCACATGATTCAGAGATTCAGAAAGAAAAAACAATAGTGAATAAAAAAGTAGAAATTATATTATGTAATACTTTATCGTTATTAATTTTAGAAATTGATTTCATAACTCTAAACTTCAATGATGTTTTATATATCTTCTGCCTGTAAGATGTCTTTTAATGATACCGAGAAATAACAGCCCTAGCATCGCCCACAAAAAAATGTAGCTTACGTCATAATTAAATATTGCGCTTCAGAGCTTTAACTATAACGTAAGCTACATTTTTTTTTGTGGCGATGCTAGGGCTGTTATCGAGAAACTGCTTTATGATATGAACTTAAAGTAAATTGTGCAAATGGACTTTGAAAATAGTTTAGCTCGAAATACTGGTCATTAAACTACCGTAGTTAAAGACTTGTACCATGTGAGTACTTTGGTTTTAACGACTAATTTTCGTATCGCAAACATTTCTTAGTATCAATTAATTTTTAACAAGCGCTTTTATCGGATTAAATTTACCCGGCTTGAGGCCCCAGAAATTTGGCTTATTATTTATCGTTATATGAACTTAAATCTCATAAATAAAGCCACCTACATTATATAATTGATTTTTATGATAACTCGGTCGGGTCAGTAAACTAAAGTTTCAATATAATTAACCAATAATGATAGCGATAGAAATTCTCCAGCTATATTAATGTGATCAAGCAGAGATCACTACAATAAATTATAAATAACTTCAAATTATGTTAATACACGATCATAAATAAAAGTGGGCGTGATACATGCTGTTAATATAGATAATGATCTCTTTATGGCATTAAAGTTCAAGAGTAACCAATATCAAATCAGATGCTAGAAAGAATGTTATCATCATTCTTGTTGTTTTATTATAAATGAGAAAATCAGGTTTACTGTATTAATTACATTAATTATATAATGGAGTTTCTCAAAATGTATTTTACCAAAGCTTTTATTAAAAGAAACATAAAATTCTGCATTCAAAAGGACTTGTACTCAAAGTGCGAAATTTATATTACATTATATACTTAATATTGAAGCTAAACCTGCATTTTAATTACCGTAAGACTCAGAAAATAAGCCCACACCTACCCTACTTATTTCAATCTCAGAAACAATAAAACCTTTTACCTAAGTTATTCCCGTAAATCTGAAATTGAAAAAAAAA